ATAAATCCTACTTGATCATAATTGATGATCTTTGGATATTTTTATTAATTCAATTTTCTGGTATTTTGTTAGGGATGTTTGCATCTATGTTCATCAGGGATATTAGTCTTTGATTTTCTTCTTTTGTGGTGTCTTTGTCTGATTTTGGTATTAGAGTGATGCTGGCCTCATAGATTTTAAGTTTGGAAGTATTTCCTCATCTTCTACATTTTGGAAAATTTTAAGGAGAATGGTTATTAGGTCTTCTCTAAATGTTTGATAAAATTCAGCAGTGAAGCCATCTGGTTCAGGTGTTTTGTTCTTAGGTAGTTTTTTGATTGTCATTTCAATTTCATTGCAGATAATTGGTCTCTTCAGATCTTCTCTTAATTCTTGGGTCAGTCTTGGAAGGTATTTTCTAGAAAGTTGTTCATTTCTTCTATGTTATCCACTTTGTTAGCATATAATTTTTCATAGTATTCTCTAATAATTCTTTGTATTTCTGTGGTGTCTGTAGTGATTTTTTCTTTCTCATTTCTGATTCTGTTTATGTATGTACACTCTCTTTTTTCTTGATATGTCTGGCTAGGGGTTTATCTATTTATTTATTTTTTTCTCAAAGAACCAGCTCCTTGTTTAATGGATTCTTTATATTGCTTTATTCTTCTCAATTTTATTTATATATGCTCCAATCTTTATTATGTCCCTCCTTCTACTGACTTTGAGCCTCATTTGTTCTTCTTTTTCTAGTTTCATTCATTGTGAGTTTAGATTGTTCATTTGGGATTGTCCTTGTTTCTTGAGGTAAGTCAATATTACAATATACTTTCCTCTTAGAATTTCTGTTGCCACATCCTACAGGTTTGGGTGGTGGGGGTTGAGTTGTTGTTTTCACTTATCTCCATATATTGCTTGATCTGTTTTAATTTGGTCATTGATCCATTGATTATTTAGGAGCATGTTGGTAAGCCTCCAAGTGTTTGTGGACTTTTTGGTTTTCTTCGCATAGTTTATTTCTAGTTTCATACCTTTGTGGTTTGAGAAATTGGTTGGTACAATTTCAATCCTTCTGAATTTTCTGAGGCTCTTTTTGTGGTCTAGTATGTGATTTATTCAGGAAACTGTTCCATTTTCACTTGAGAAGAGTGGGTATCCTGTTGCTTTTAGGTGGAGTGTTCTGTAGATGTCTGTAGGTCCATATTTTCTAATGCATCTTTTAGTGCTTCTGTCTCCTTTTCTGTCTGGTTTTTCTGTCCTTTGGAGTGAGTGGTGTACTGAGGTCTCCTAAAACGAATGCATTGCATTCTATTTCCCACTTTAATTCTGTTAGTATTTGTTTCACACATTTATGTGCTCCTAGGTTGGGTGCATAGATATTTATAATGTTTATGTCCTTTTGTTGGACTGACCCCTTTATCACATAATATCTTTCTTTGTCTCATTACTTTCTTTGTTTTGAAGTCTGTTTTATCTGATACAAGTACTGCAACTCCTGCTTTTTTCTCCCTATTATTTGCATGAAATATCATTTTCTATCCCTTCACTTTTAGTCTGTATGTATTTGGGTTTCAAGTGAGTCTCTTGTAGGCAGCATATAGATAAGTGTTGTTTTGTTATCCATTTTGTGACTCTATGTCTCTTGATTGGTGCATTCAGTCCATTTATATTTAGGGTGAGCATCAGTAGATATGTACTTACTGGCTTCAGATTCTTGGTTACTAGAGTTTCAAGGGCAGCTTCTTTACTATCTAACAGTCTAACTTAACTTGCTTATTACACTATTTCAAACACAATCTAAAGGTTCTTTACTTTTTCTCCTCTCTTTTTCTTCCTACTCCACTCTTTAAGTTTTAGGTGACATATTCTCTATTCTTTGTGTATTCCTTGTCTGACTTTGTGGGTAGTTGATTTCATTTTGCATTTGCTTACTAAATAATTGGTCTACTTCTTTTACTGTGGTTTTATTTTCACTGGTGACAGCTATTTAGCTTTAGGAGCACTTCCACCTAGAGCAGTCCCTCCATAATACACTGTAGAGATGGTTTGTAGGAGGTAAATTTCCTCAACTTTTGCTTATTTGGAAATTATTTAATCCCTGCTTCAAATTTGAAAGATAACCTTTCCACATAGAGTATTTTTGCTTTGAGTCCCTTCTATTTCATTGTGTTAAATTTATCATGCCACTCCCTTCTGGCCTTTAAGATTTCTTCTGAGAAATCTGATAATAGCCTAATGGGTTTTCCTTTGCATGTGGTCTTTTTTATTTCTCTGGCTGCTTTTAAAAGTCTGTCCTTGTCCTTGATCCTTGTCATTTTAATTATTATACGTTTTCATGTTGTCTTCCTGGGGTCCCTTTTGTTGGTAGATCTGTTCACTTCCATGGCCTGAGAGACTATTTCCTGCCCCAGATTGGGGAATTTTTCAGTAATTATTTCCTCAAAGATACTATCTAACCCTTTTTCTCTCTCTTCTTCTTCTGTTATCCCTGTAATTTGAATATTCTTCCTTTTGGATTAGCTGCACTATTCTTTTTTTATTATTTCATTCCAAGAGATCCTTTTTTCTCTCTGTGCCTCAGCTTTTTTGTATTCCTGTTCTCTAATTTATATTTCATTTACTGGCTTCTCTGTCTCCTCTAATCTGCTTTTAAATCCCACCATTGTATGTTTCATTTCAGATACTATGTTTTTTAAAATTTCTATCCCTTTCTTTAAGTCCTCCCTGAGATATTCAATGTTTTTTCATGAGCATGTTTATGACTTCTATTTTGAAATCCTTATCAAGAAGTTTAGTGATTTCAGTTTTATTGAGGGTTTGGGGTTTGTGAAAGATTATTTTGCTGTTTCATATCTCTAATGATTATTACAGAATAATAACTTTGTGTAGGTGGCTCCCACTAGTGCCCAGATGCTCTGCTCTCTGTTGCTGCTCTGCACCTGGAGCAATGGTGGGGGTTGCAGGTGAGAGGCAGCAGTGCCTACCAGGAGGAAAGAGCTCTTTCCTGCTTTCTTGGTGTAGTGCCTGCATCCACTGCCTGGGCCTGTGGGCCAAGTACACAGGGAGGAGCCTCTGAGTTATGCCCTTGTAGCTGCCATAGGTAGGGTTGCCCTCCAGCTGACCTGGCACAATGACATGGGCAGCAGATTTGGATCTGGTGCTGGTTGTGAAGAAGGAGTGGCAGTCTGCATGTCACAGTGGGGGCCTTGGTGCTGCATTGCCAGCCAGGTGGATGGAGCACCTGAAGCTCCTGAACTTTCCCAACCTTCTGGGCTGAGTATGCCAGGATAATTTTGTCTACCAGTCCTTTCTCCTGAGCTGCAAGCTCAGTGTAATCTTTACCTCTTTAGCAACCCTCTCACCATTGGGAAGTCTTTCAATGTGCCCACCTTTCTTTTGTTCCTGAGTGGCCAGTTGTGGGTACCTGTTCTCCATAAGTGGCTGGAATCTCAGTCTCTCCAAGTATTCTACCTGTCTTTGCTTTCCTACCCCACTAATCTCCAGAGCACCATGTAATGTGGGTTTGTGTTCCCAGAGCAGATCTCCAGTGGTAGATGTTTAGCAGTCCTGGGCTTCTACTCCCTGCCTGCTCTGTTTCTCTTCCTCCTGCCAGTGAGTTGGGGTAGAGGGAGGGCTTGAGTCCTGTCAGATTGTGACTTTGCAACTTTTTTCTGTGAGGTCTACTCTTTTCCCCAGATTTAAGCCATCTGTTGCAATCTTCTTTCTGGTCGCTCTTTCAGGATTAGTTGGATTTGCTGTATTTTTGTGTAATATGGTTTGGGGAGGAGGTTTCTGCCTCACTTCTCATGCCTCCATCTTTTTCCACCTCCTATAACATCATTTCAATTTTTAAGCAAATATTTTAATTCCTCTACAGCACCTCACAGCCAGTGTTCTTGTGCTGCCTCCTCTTGTATCAATGCCATTTCATTCTTGAATGAATCCACAGCAGTTCACAGCTTGTGTTCTCATTCCATCATTTCTTATGTCTCTTTCAGGAGCATGTTCTGCTCATCTGTAGACTTTATTAGTACTGTGAGAAGTAGCCAATCCACAGCTCCCACTGCTTCACGGGCACTCTGTTTCTCAAAGGACCTCCTTATTATATGAAGGGCCACCTCTGCTGCCTCAGGTGTCACTCCCACCTGCCTCTAGTGCTTGGATGGGGCCCAGCACTCTATAAAACAAGCCACCTCAGACCCCATGCCCACTGGGGTCACTCAACTGTCTCCTCATTCATAGGGGCATCCTACTGAAGCACCCTTCCATAAGAGCAGCCTGTTCTGTTCCTCAGTCAACAGTGAATCCTGCCATCATCTCCAATTGTCTTGGAATTGGGTTTTAGCCCCTGGGCTACTTAACTATGGATTCAGTGAGACTGAAGAATGACTATGGAACATTCTTGGGATAAAATGGTTTCTTACCTGGCTTGTTCTCCTGGCGAAAGGCTGAGCATTAGATTTACATCTGCATCCGACAGTCTGCAGGTCTGTAATCCTCCTTTGTCTCTGCCTCCACCCAGAACACTAGACAGAGCTCTTTATATTGTGACTTCAGTCAATAATAACTTACTGCCTACAGGTGTGGAAGTATTAACCTAGCAATAGGCTAATTACATCATCAAATATTTTAGGGTCAGATGAGGATCCTTGGTCCTAGGAACTTCAATTCTTCCCACACTTACCTTAATTCATTCTCCGTTTTTAGGAAATGAACATGACAGTAAAGGTTTGGTGACTATTAGATGAGATAATTATGGAAAGTACTCAACACAGTGCCTGGAACACAGCAGTCTCTCAACAATCAGTACTTATTTACTAGTACTATTATTAGTAGTAGTAATTATTATCAGTGGTGTTAGTAATGAATTTTAATACTTTTCATAGAATATAGTAGTTTTAGACAAGTATTTTTGGCAGAATGGATACATTATAAAAGTTTAATTGATGTTGAATCTTCCTTTTGACATTATTTTGCTCCTTACAGAATTTTTCTTCTGAAATGTGCTCATTTATCTTCACCAGGTGATCAAGCCAACACACATGAGTTGTTAGTTCTGGCCTCACACCTTCGGGACAGTGCTGAACTCTTTCAGTCAGATGAGATGCGTCCTGCTAATGATCCCAAGGAAAGAGCTCCCATCCGGGTCCGAATGTTGAATGATATTCTCCAAGACATGGAGAAAAACTTCCTGGTACAGCAAGTGCCACCAGGTTTTTATAGGTAAGATATGTGTTTCTAAATTTACATTTTTGTGTCCCTCAATTAAAATTTCAGAGTATGTACCTTCTGTGAACCTAACACTATTTTTTTAAAGTAAAACAGTTGTTTCATCTACAACTCGGGGAATATTCTCTTCCTCCAAAGAAATGTTCAAATGCATAGATTTAGGAAAAAGGGAACTTGATTTAGCAGTATCATATAGAAAGTGACTAAGAATTGTTTTTTGACATTAGTGTCAATATGAGTCAAATGTGATATGGCTACTGAAAAATTAGTTGAAATTATGGGTTATATTAGGAGAAATATACTTTCTTGAAGAAATCAGGATAGCCAGGCAGAGAGAGACAAATACCATATAATTTCACTTATATGTAGAATATAAACAAAACAAAACAAAACAAAACAAATTAACAAAGCAGAAATAGACTCATAACACCAAAACGTGACTGATAGTTACCATATTGCATCTTTCTTTTCTGGGTGGGGTTGGGGGTAGGTGGTTGAAGCAGGTGGCAGGCATAAAGAGGCATAATATCTCAATAATAATATAGATCAGTCACAGGGATGAAAGTATGCTATAGAGAATATAGTCAGTAGTTCTGTAACATCATTCTATGTTGACAGTAACCACACTACTTGAAGTGAACATTTAATAATGTAGATTATTGTTGAATCACTATGTTGCATATTTGAAACCAAATATGAGGTTATATAACAACTATACCTCAGTAAAAAAATTAAATTAAAAACATCTAACCAAAAAAAATTCTTTTAAATTAAAAAAATAAATCAAGAGAGAAGCCCATGCTAGTCTATCCTTATAAGACTGCGTGTACAGCATTGTATTTACTTCTAGAAACTACATTTCAAGAGAGAGTTAAATAAGTTTAATATTCAGGAGAGATTGGGATTTAGATGGATCTTGACACAATCAGGGGATTAGAGACATATGGCTAGAAATTTGCAATACAGTGATTTCTGAAAATATTTTAATAATTTTAACAAATATTTTAATAAAACAACTTTCATATGAAACAGTGATTCAATTTATGCCCTTAGAGGTTGAGATAGGTGACACATGATTTTCCTTTTGAGGTTCTTGATATAGTAGAAATTTAGTAGGGATAAAAAATATAAATACACTTTTCTGTGTATTAGATGTATAATAAATACAAATATAGTATAAAATAAATAATAATAGATGCATCTAAATGAATATAATAATTAGTTATATATGCATATATATGTCTGGGGTGTGTGTGTGTATATATGTATGTGAGTTTGTAATTTTTATATATATATGTATATGGGTATACATATAGTATATATTTATATATAAATATATTTTATACATATATATGCATACATACATATGTGTATACACACACGCATACACACACACACACACACACACACATATATATATATATATGACTAGTCCACAGTTTATCATAAGAAAAGGCATGAAGTGAAGAGGTGTTGGAGAAAGAGAGATCCAGGAAGACTATTCTCATTCTTAATGGCCCAGAACTTTCATTCATAAAGGACCTCAAATTTAGACTTGATACTATATAATATATATATGTATAGTGTATGTATGTATCCACAACACATACTACATATGCTGGTATAACAAAGGAACTGGATATAACTAGGACTGAATATTGAAGCATGGGAATAGAAATCTTAACTACATACAAGAAGGAAGTTTCTAGTAAGTGTTCTTAAGACTAAACCTGATGCTTTTACAGGGTGGTGAACTCACTGTCACTGCAAGTATGAACTCACAGACTGAGTAACCCTAAGCACCTGAATATTGGCACTACATGAGGTTTAAGGTGACTTTTGTTATCAAAGTTCTGTGATCTGACAACCCACTTGATTTCTGTGCAACCTTAATTTCTACATCTACAGAATGACATGATGGGATGAGACCCTTGAAAATAAGAAACTTTTTCTCCTTTGGAAATTTGGTGGTATTCATTTATAATTTTAAACTCAAAATTCACATTTAAAATCCTTATTTTACATTATTTATTTTAGCACTCTGACTCTGTATTATGACACTTTGGGAAACATTCATCTATAACAACAGGTATTTTTAAGGCACTCTGTGTACCCCGTGTACTTGTAAGCACCAGAGATGCAGCAGTTGCCTCAAATTAGAAACACCAGCCCTGATGAGATGATATTCCAGTGGTGAGGATGAGGAAACAGAATGAACAAGGTAATGAAGTAAAATATAGTATACTACATATATTTATATATATATAATAGCTGCTAAGGAGAAAAATTAAGCCACATTATTAAATCTAGCATTATTAAAAAGTCTTATTCAGATTAGCTGAATTATATTTTTAGAATACAAAATTCTTTTCACTGTTAATTATGAGAAATTCATAAATGAATAGGACTCATACATTAGGATCATAGTTTTGTATATCATGACTTAGTAAACTTTTTTCTCACTTGCCTTGGCACTTGCAATAGAAGTAGAATACCTCTCTTTGTTCTGATATGTGTCCAGTGCACTTTCCAGTACCCCTTCAATAATATTTATGGACTCAATTCTTTTTTACGATGCATTTTGAGTAGAAAAGTGAGTATTTGTGTTACCCTGACTTAACAATGACTATTAAGAAAGTGATTGTTTTCCTATAAATAATGTGATTATAGCATTCCTTGTATTTCAGTGTACAAGCCTCAAAATGTTGATTATGGTAATGTTCCAACTCATATAACAAACGTTAGGATTGAAAGCTATGGTTCAATATTTTGGCATTATTTTAAACTATCACTATAGTTACTGAAGGAATACACATGTGCCATTTTTCTCCTTGGCTCTTTTAATTCATCTATATGCCATGGTGCAAATAGATTAAATAGCTTCATTTTGATTTATTGACTGACCTTTATCTCAGACTGTCATGAGTTTTTACTTCCTTTCTGAAATATATAACAAATCTTCCTACTTCATCTTATTTTCTTGGTAGAGAATTCTCATTTCTAAATCTTTTTGATGTAACAATTTCAAATTATAATAGATTTTCTCATCTCAAACATAAGCTCATCCTTTGTAGGGGGAGGAAACAAAGTAAAGAAATGGGTGTGATAGCATGATATGCAGTTTAAGAAAATAGAAAAATTATTTATTTATAATGGTAACTATATGGAGAAAAGATAAAATTGTTAATTTCATTATACAAAGAACATTTGGTGAGCAAAGTTTTTTAAATGTTAAACAACCTTTAGAGATGTTATTCATGTAAGAATTTCACTCTTCAGTCTGGTGATGTTATGACAATTCTCATCAAATATACAAGGAGGAAGTAAAAAAATGATTTGCTTTTTAAGAAATTTGTTGACAGAATCTCACTGTGTAAAGCTAAATATTGCATTTGAAATTTGGATCATGTCCCAAAGGATACTGCCTCAACCAAAGTGTCACTAAACACTGAAATATATTATCTTTGGAATATATGAAAGATTTTTCTCCCATAATTTGGCATCAGAAAATTCAATGATTTCAAATCCTTTGATGTTGCATGTAAAACTGACTGTCTTTCTCATAAATGAACCCTCACTGAACATTGCTCTGTGCAAGCATACTGATGGAAACTGACAATGTAAGATCCCCACCTTCCAGGAGTTTAATGTAATGCAAGAGGTAAAATATATAAATCCTAGATCAAATACATTTTCAGAATATTTATGCGAAGTAGTCAGTGAATGCTACAGGTAAGAAGTGCTGTTGGGATTCAGTGAAGAGAAAAATTATTATCTGTGACAGTCAAGAAAGACTATAGGGAAAGGGAGAAATTTATCTGGGCTTGAGGGTATGATAAAATGCCCATTAAATTAGATAGTGCTATAGATTGAATGTTTGTGTTCCCCCAAAATGTGTATGTTGAAACCTAATCCCCAATGTGATGATATTTGAAGGTGAGCCCCAGGAGATGTTTAGTTTGTTAGGGCAAGACCCTCATGAATGGGATTAGTGTTTTTAATAAAGAGACTCTGGAGAGGTGCCTTGCTGCTTCTGCCAGGTGAAGCCAGGATGTCGTGGACTAGGAAGCAGGCCTTAAGCAGACACCAAACCTGTTGGCACCTTGATCTTATACTCGCTACCCTCCATAACTGTGAGCAATAAGTTTGTGCTGTTGATAAGACACTCAGCCCATAGTATTCTGGTATAGCCCAAACTAAAACGGAAGCATGCCAGAGATAGTAAAGAAAGACACAAAGGGGACTTAACTTGGGTGTGGTATACTGCGGTGTGGAGAACAAGAAGTGAAATGGTTTGATTGGTTATTAGGCATATGATTTTGGAGAGGTAGGAAGGATTCACACTGTGAAGTCTCTTACATTGTCTATTGAAATGTTTGGGCTCTGTTTTTCACAAGAAAAGTCACGAAGAAATCTCCCCCTTCAGTAGGAAGATTGACCTGATGCTCCAGATGGGGTGAGCTGGAGCTGGGAGAGAACGGGAAACTCTGGGAAGACTGGGGAAATGAGAAAGGCACGGAGGGCTGAGAGCGTGATTTGGACTATTGGTGTTGGAATGAAAAGCATAGGGATGATTTGGAAAGTGGTGTTAAGGAAGAACTAGGTGAATTTAGGGGTCAAGAGGCTGTGGTTATCTTATTTCAGCTTGTTTCTAGGATCCCTCTGGGACCAGGCAGGGCAGGGAAGAGTAGCAGAAAGAGCCTCTTCTCTGTCCAAGTCTGGAATATCTGGAGATGAGGTCTCGGGGCATCAAGACCTCATGTTTTATGGTTGGAGTCTTTTTAACTCTCTATAGCTACTGCTCTGCAAAGGTAGAGTAACAGTCTGGTCTGGTGAACCTATGCATTCCCCACTACAATATATTTTTATAAAATAAAACACTTTTTTAGAGCAGTTTTAGGTTTAGAGAAAAATGGAGCAAAAGTACAGAGTTCCCATACAACACTTCACACACACACACACACACACACACATGCACATGCCCACACATGGTT